TAAAATTATCTCCTATAAAAAATTTTAAACTATTTTTATCACAATAGTGATAGATGCACCGTACAAAAGGATATGAATCCCCCCACCCCTCCTTGTGCTTCCCTCTCCTGTTATATTTTCAGTTTTCTTGCCTACTTCTGCATATTTATTTCTTCAGGTAAAATCAGGATCATTTTGCCATGTTCCTCCCCAATCCTGTTGGTGTTTTGGTTTAGATCACACTAAACGTATAGGTTAATTTATGGAGAAATAATATCTTTTCAATATTGAGTCTTTTTTATCCAAGAACACAGTATGTCCTTCCGCTTTTTTCGAGTGTTCTTGTACGTCCCTTGCTTGGGCTTTACCATGTCCATCATATAGGTCTTGTCTATCTCTGGTAAAGTTTATCGTAGGCATTTTATCTTTATGTTGATATTGTAAATGGGATCTACTACTTTTTTTTTTTTTTTTTGTGAGGAAGACCAGCCCTGAGCTAACATTCATGCCAATCCTCCTCTTTTTGCTGAGGAAGACTGGCCCTGAGCTAACATCTGTGCCCATCTTCCTCTACTTTATGTGGGACGCCACCACAGCATGGCTTGACAAGCGGTGTGTTGGTGCAGGCTCGGGATCCAAACCCGGGCCGCCAGCAGCAGAGCGCGCACTTAACTGCTACGCCACAGGGCCGGCCCCTATTTTATTTTTAATTCATATTTTCATATAGGAAAGCTATTGATTTTTTCATATTAATTTTACAACCACTTACTGAATTCTTTTATTTCTGATGGTTTTGCAGTGGATTCCCTTATGTGTTCCAAACACATATGATCTGCAAATAATTTGGCCTTCCACTTTCCAAACTGTATACCTCATTCCTTTCACTTGCTAATTGCATTGACTAGTGCTTCCACAATAATGTTAAATAACAATGGTACATGGGAATGCAGGTTTACTAACACACTCCTGCTTTACAATTTGGGAAATTTATACCAATGGAATCTGATACAAGCAATCCACCGATCAGTATTGGGTAACCAGTGATTTGTAGCATCTTCAACTGTTTATTTCTTCAATCTGGCCTTGAAACATAATGCTTATTTCCATGATTCCAATAGAATATGAGGCCAGTATAATTTCCTAGGATTCTGTGAGCCAGGCCAGACCCCCTGGTTATCGATGGGGAGGCGTGTCCCACCAGTGGTAGCCCCTTATACATTTTTCTGTTACAGCCCTAATCACCTGTGCTTAGACTGTTTCAAAAGGGCTTCTCCCACTAAAGAGCCATCCTCATCGCTCCATCGCTTGGCACAAAAAGTAGATTCTCAGATGAAGGACACTCCCTGTCTTTTATCATTCAGTTCTTTGTGTCAGTCTCTCTGCCTAAAGAAATCAGGTTCTTAGAGATTCCTATCAGCCTTCTCTTGTCACCATCTTCGAGTGGTGTTCAAGGAGCAACAACGGGCTCACTGATTTTACCGGCCAGTCTCCACTGGAGATGTTACCAAGTGAGCAAGATTATCAAATGACCCAGATCTTCTTTTCTCTCCTTCCAAGTCATTGTAGCAACACAGTTTTCAAGGAAAGGATAAACCAAGCCAGAGGTGGTTGGAAATGTATTTATTTTTCTTCAAATGATCTTTTTCAAGCAATAAATAAAAACAGACATGTTGACTTTTCTAAAAAACAAAACCAAACAAAAAAATTCCCTAAACTATATACATCCTACAGAAATACAAGCATATCAAATGTAGAAATGACATCACTCTGAAAGATGGGGCTATTTACAGAAGTTACAAGTATTGCATTGCTGTCTTGAAGAAGCCTCTTCCTCGTATGACTCATAAACTCTAAGGAAGGACACGGTGCTCCCGGGGGAGGAGGGGTATCTTCAAAGAGGTAAAACTCTCCATCCTTCTTGATAGACAAGGAAATGTTCAAGGAAAAACAACAACATCCAGACACTGTATTCAGCTCCCTAGCAATGCCCACAGATCAGCTGACTTTCAAGGAGCATGAAAGGGCGCTCCATTCAGGAGGTCACATGCTCCTTGAGCTCCTGAGAGAAAGCATCTTGTCCCTCAGCGAGGCTGGGACTCGCAGTGAGGCCATGCTGAGCCAGTGACAAGCCCCAGCTGCGGTTTCTGCGAGACAATCCAGCTCGGTGTTATCAAGACCAGGCCTCCAACAGCACACTGCCATCCAGAAAGCAGTTTCCCAAATTGGAAAGCACTTGGGGCGCTCTGAAACGTACTGATGCCTGGGTCCCTCCTCCAGAAATCCTGGTTTAATTGGTCTGGGAGAGCCTGGTAGCAGGGTTTTCAAAGCTCCCCAGCTGATGCTGACGGGCAGCCACGATGAACCGCTGCCCTAATACTACGGGCTCGGTGGCCAACTCCCCATCTAACGGCCCCTCCCCCTCACATGTGAATCAACCGTCCTATCTCCCTCTGTCCACCTTCCCAAGGATTTTACATTTCTTCTCATGGCTTCCCAACTTTATTGAAAACTCTGGAATCTGGCTGGAATGAGCACCTGAGGAAAATGGCCCCAGGAAGGGATGACTGAAGCTGGGAGCTCCCGGCCACCTGCTCACGGGCAGCTTCAGCCTAATACTGCTCCACGGGAGAGGAGGCCCATGTCCCTTGGTGCCCCACCAACATCCTTGGGTCACACAAGATTCCTGGAGGGAACTGGCAGCACTCCTCAGTCTCTATAGAAAGATCCTGTGAGTCTACGGCCTTTTGTAGCCAACAGCACAGCTGATAATCAGTGCAAGTGGCAATGCTTTCTGGCCATTACAGAAATCTCACATCACCGTAAGTCACTCCATGGGAGGGATGCCTATCGAAACCCACTGGCCATGTGGACTGACCCTGCAGTAGTGTCTTCATTAGAGCCATTCCAAGTCATCCAAGGGGCTTTTGATGGGAGGATAAGGACCAAAAATCCCCTTTTCCAATCAAGCCAATTTCCTATTTTATTCCTAAGAGTTTTGGGACTCATACTGTTACCAAGTACAAAGAGAATGGCTTTATAAATAGCAGTTTGGCGTTGTGATAGAAGACTTGAATTGGAAAGCAGGGGAAAGACATGTCTGGGGCTGGTCCTGAGCTCCGACGGTCCGTGTGGTGGGAATCCAGTCTGGGAAAGCAGGATATGCAGGTTTTGGCAAATGTGCACTCATTCTATAAAAACTGAATCTGTTCCAGGCTTCTTGCCCTCCCCCTCGAGCAGCCCCTCCTCCCAGGCCTCTCTGCTGCTGGAACCCATAGCTCTTTCAGCTGCAGAACCCACTTGACTGCATTGATCACAAAACATGATGAAGCGACTTCCAGGAATCAAGGATAAAGTGGGAACATGCAACCGTCCTGTCTCTAAACAGGTCCATTGTCCAGGAACCCCAACTCCTCCACACCTCACCCCTCACTATTCGGCCAAGCAGCTCCCGGGAAAGGAGGGAGCCTTAGGCTTTTCTAGAAACAGGAAGTGGGAACTACGACCTCACCCAGAGAGAGGGCTAGACAAAGGCAGGACAAATGATGCCAACACAGGTTTATGTTTATGGAAGGAAATGTAACAAACCCAGTCCTGTCTGGGATGCTAGGATGAGAAAGAGCATTCCAACACTAATCTGACATTGAGGCTTGAAGTTATCTATGGGTGAGCAAAAATGTTCATTTAGATCTAGTTTCTCAAAGGGCTAAAAAAACACGCTCTCGTTTCTAGACAAGTTTGCAATTACCTCTAATCCGGCACTCCATAACAATACTGTTCCACAATACTACAAATGAAATTACATGTGGCTTGTTCCCTCCCCCCTCCCCTCAAGCCCGACCCACAGAAAACATCCTTCTCCCTCCAAAAGCTATTCCTCCATTTGGAAAGGTCCCTTAAAATGGCATTATCCCAAGAAAGGATCCTACAGTGGCACCCGAGTACCCCGGACGCCCATCACAGAAGCCCAGCAGCCAGCTCCCAAGCCAAGAGTCTGCCCGACTCCTCACTCACACTCTCTTGCCATTCTAGACCTCAACAAGACCTGAAATGTGGTGTCTACTCCCTTCTTTTTATTCAAAAGAGGGCCTTTAAAAATATTCACCTAAACCAGGAATTTCAAGAACATAAGAATTTGTTGGTGTACTTCAAGTAAACCCCCTAAAATTAAAAACTCCAATTTATGCAAAAGAGAAAAGATGGAGGGCCGGCCCCATGGCGAAAGGGTTAAGTGCGTGCGCTCTGCTACTGGCGGCCCAGGTTCGGATCCAGGGCGCGCACCGATGCACCACTTGTCAGGCCATGCTGTGGCGGCATCCTATATAAAGTAGAGGAAGATGGGCACGGATGTTAGCCCAGGGCCTGTCTTCCTCAGCAAAAAGAGGAGGATTGGCATGGATGTTAGTTCAGGGCTGATCTTCCTCACAAAAAAAAAGAGAAAAGACGGTGCTTCCACTTACAAAAGGATCCATTTCAGGTCTGTCTCTAGTTAGCTGGTTTCCCCAATGGCCTTGCCAAATGATTTGCTGTAGGAAAATCTGAGTTGCACCCAATTTTTCAGGAGCACCATATATGATATGGCATTTATCACAGATGATGATATACAAGTCCTCAGGCAGGCCTATGAGAAAAATGCTCCCACCACCAAATTGAATTACTGATCATCAGAGAGAAAAGGTGGCATTGTGGTTTAACATCACTTCAGTGGTCTGTGTGCCCAGGAACCAGCTTCGAAAGTAATTAAAATGTATTCCTTTCCTTTCTTCCTCCTCCCACCCCACCTGGCCTGCTTCTCAGTGGCAACAAATGCAGGTTGCTCATCATGCTAACTGGTCCACCAAGGAGAAACCACTTGCTCCCTAACTGCTCTGACATTTGCATGCTATTGTGCTCGGCTGATGGACATCAACATATATTCTAAATCCACGGTCACTAGACTCTTTGTACTTACATACTCCGAGGAAATTCTTAATAAATATTTTTATTTATTATTAAGCATAATTATTCACCTCTTATTGACTTAGAAAGGAAAACCAGGTCCTAAAAGATTAAAAAAAAAAAATTTCTGTAACTACAACAACAAACAAGGACCAAGCACAGAGAACCAGGCACTTGGGGCAGACCTGCTTTCTTCCTGTGGCCCTTCCCTTCCCACTCTCCCTCCCCTAAATCAAACCGGGTGGGCACATTTGCCAGGATCTGTGGGTTTCATAACTTCAAGCCTTACTGCTTACAAAAATGAGGTAAGAAATTCCTATCTGAAAAGTAAAACTGACACATAAACCAAACCGAGGGCTTCCCTGCCCACTGAGGCAGCCATTATTGCTCTAAGTTGGAGTGTTTTGTTTGCTTTTAATATGTAGTCAAAGTCCTTATTGCCATTCTAGCGGCCCCGTGGCTGGCCAAGGAGCAATGGATGGGAAGGAGCTTGGTGGTCCGCCCCCAGCTGGTCAGTCCCGACTGGCTGCCCACACACGGCCCACCCACCCCTGGCCGGAAGCAGACCGGTGTGGGGGTCCCCAGAGTGGCTCTAACAGCTGGGGGAGGTGGTGATGGGGCTGTGCAGGTACGGCAGGCTGCTGGGGGCCGAGTGCACCCCCACCGAGACCGGGAAGCTGAAGACGAACTGCGAGGTGGGGGTGGGGGTGGCCTTGCCGCGCTCGCGCAGGGGCCCGGAGGGGCTGGCGGCCTCCGCGGCGCAGGACGTGGCCAGCACCTGCGACTCGAACTGCAGCAGCTGCCCCATGAAGCTGAAGTTGGGCGAGATGATGCTCCGCCGCTGCTTGACGAACTCAAAGGCCTCCTCCAGCCTCACTCGCTTCTTCATCATCAGGTAGGCCAGGCAGATGGTGGCGGAGCGCGAGATGCCCGCCTGGCAGTGCACCAGCACCCGCCCGCGGCAGTCCTTCACCGCATCTGGGGCAGAGAGGGGACGCGGTTAGGGCCCTCGGCAGTCCGGGCCTTCACCTGAGGGCAGGTGCAGGGGGCCTGAGCCAGAACGTGGGGGCGCGGGGAGGACCTGAGAAGTGCGGAGGATGGGCATCCCACTGAAGGAATCGCCATTCTAGGCTGAGGAGGGGAGGGAAGAAACTCACGTGGGAGGGACCAATATCCTAGAATTCCACCTGGTCTAGGATATTTTTGAGACTTAACCAAACAAATGGGCTACACTTGGGAAAAGCTTGTGCTAAAGCCAGTTAAACCCCAACCCACATTCAAGGATTTCTGTTGGCAGAAACAAAACCAATGACCTGTTTCTCCCTTTCTTTGTCTTCCTCCTCATCCCCAAAGCCTTATGGTCTAGGCAGCTGGAGACACCTAAGGAAAGGTTATTGGCTCTATAAGCCAACAGTATGGGCAGGTGTAAGGAGTTTGTCTTCCTACCCCCACCCAACACAACATCCAGTGGGCAAGCCTTCCTGTGGAGGAGGAGGGGAAATGGGTACACCCTACATACAGCATCTCCTAAGTCCCTCCTTCAACACATGGTTACAAGCCGGTCCCTCCCATCCTCCCCACCTGGCCTCAACCCGGCACCCCAGCCAGGGCCAGCCTACCGATATACTCTATGGCTTCCATGAACCAGGAGCTGATGTCAGCCTTGTGGTTGTCTTCCACTGGGATGCACTTGTACTGATAGTGTCCTTCAAAGTGGTTGGGACAGTCGGAGGAGACGTTCAACAGGGCCGTGATCCCCAGGGCGTCTAGCATGTCTCTCCGGGCAGCATGGTAGGCACTGCCGAGGTAGAGGAAGGGAAGGATCTCCACGGGACCCCCCTGCACCAGAAAGGGGAGACAAGGGCCCCCAGACATCATGAGTGTGGGCACCCAGGAAAAGGGCCGGGGTACTTGGGACAGGGGGAGGGAAGCCAGTCTGAGGTGTGCTCTGGGGAGAACACCTATGGACATAGCCCTTCCAGGTCTCCCCTTATCCACAGGGGCTTCTGGAGGGAGCACTGGGCTCAATGGGACGTCTCGAGCCTTTACCCTCCACTCTGCTGTGGGCAGAGAAGCCAGGACAGGTAAAGCCCTGGGGGCCCCTCTGGTTCCAGCAGCCCCCTCCCCTGTGATAAACGGAGGGGCAGACACAATGATGGCTTGCCACACCATTTGTGACATTCAGAGCTTACACCTGCTAATCATCAAGCTATCTGTTGTGTGGTTTAGGGACTGACTTGGTTGGATAAGTCTTCACTTGGCACATCAAAAACAGATGCTATGTCAGCCTCACAGACAAGAAGAGGGATCTTGGTAAAATGAGATAATGTCAGCTTAAATTAATGACCATTTTCTGAGTCACATCAACTCGAGTGATCTGGGATTTGGGGAGCAGAGTTGCTGGACCCCATAAATTCACTCCCTCTCCATCTAAATGACAGGGCTGGAAGGGGTGGGCTTGTAAGAACTACAGTGGCTTGAGCTGGTTTTCTTGGGGGAGGGTTGGCTGACCATTTATGTCCACTTGGCATTCACAGTTGGCTTGTACATGGGGGGCAGCCTGACTGTTGTGGATCGGGGCTGGGGTCCACAGGCCGCGCCTTCGAAGAAGGGTGTTCTCTCGGCTTCCGACAAGGCAGGCCACACACTTCCAGCTTCAGCCGGCCTCCTCACTTGTCTGCACATAACTCTGGAGGCTAATCAGGGAGTTACGTCTTATATTTTTTTCTTAAGTGAGGGTAATAAGAGAGGGAAGGGGAAGAGTTCCAAGGAACAAATGGAATTTATTCCTAACCTACCTAACATCCCACCCTGTACTCGTGGTTCACCACATTCTCCCCACACTGAAGCACCGCATCCAAAGCCTTTGAAAAGCTGAGCTCTGAAAAGAACCCCTCCCAACCTGGTCGTGCAGGGGGGTCCCACAGGAGCTGCATCCCAGGTCCAGGGACTCGGCGGTGCTCGGGGGCACAGCAGGCGGGATGGCTGCCAGGGCCTTGGTTTTGGAACAGAATTCCGGGTATTCGGAGGAAAACCTCTCATAGCCACCTGTAAAGGAGAAAGAAGCAGGTTAATTGGGGTCACTAAGCCAGCAGGAAACCAGAAGGAACTTGAATCCTTTCCCGCCCGAGGAGAGCAGTTGGGAAGCTGGGGCTGGCTAGATCTACATTTGCCACTTGGTGGCGCTGTGGAGCCAGAGATAATGGCCATGGAGCATTTTCCAGAGACACAATCCACATTTGGCCAGGACTGCATCTTGAAGACTGGAAGGAAAGTTTTATGGATGAGACTTTGGTCTGGGATGCAGACACACAAAGCAAGATCTGCAGGGGGGATGCAGAAGGACGAGCTCCCTAAGGGTGATGACAAGGCATGAAAGACGGAATGGCCACTGTGGGTTTCCACGAGTACTGGGGCAGCCTGCAGCTGGGCCCCGGGACCAGCAAAGCTGTCCGTCATCCCCCAACTTCAGCCCTTCCTCTGGAGAGGTCCTCCAATGTGGGAGAGAAGAAAAACATCCTGGCACCAGCCCTTCTGGATCTCAGCAGTGGAACAGATGCCAATCTCAAGGCCTCATGAACAGCTGTTCCATCAACGAGGGGCCAAAACAAGAGGAAACGGGCTTAAATCGACATAAATCCCTCTTGCTACATACAGGTTTGGGGCAAAGGAGGATTTCCTGATCTGAGAGTTGCTAAGCCCTGGAATGGTTATCTGTGGGATCATCTTCCGGGGAAAGGAAACTTTTAAGTAAGAAAAGATGGCCAACTTCATCTGGAATAGTGTTAGTGCCAAGCAGAAAAGTGCCGGCTGAGCGGGGGTGGGCAGGGAAACTCCGAGAAGAGACATGCTCAGCCTGTATCTCTGATTTTCTTGTGATCTCCGGGCCTTTACTCTTCGGGTAACTTACAATTTACTGTCAATATTTGGCCCTGCTTGTATTTTTTACTTTTCAGTTTCTGTAGGACCAAGGGTGGATTATAAATTAATTCAGCAGGTGAAGGAGGTCAAAAGGTACCAACTTCCAGTTATAAAATAAGTCAGTCCTGGGAACGTAATATACAGCATGGTGACTACAGTTAATAATACTGTATTGCATATTTGAAAGCTGCTAAAAAAAAAAGTTACTAAAAGAATAGATCTTAAAAGTTCTCCTCACAGGGGCAGCCCGGTGGCGGAAGCGGTTAAGTGCGTGCACTCTGCTTTGGTGGCCCGGGGTTCGCCGGTTCGGATCCCGGGCGTGCACCAATGAACACTGCTTGTCGAGCCATGCTGTGGACGTGTCCCATATAAAGTGGAGAAAGATGGGCACTGATGTTAGCCCAGGGCAAGTCTTCCTCAGAAAAGAAAAAGAGGAAGATTGGCAGATGTTAGCACAGGGCTGATCTCACACACACACAAAAAAGTTCTCATCACAAGGAAAAAAAAGTTTTTTTGACCATATATGGTGACGAGTGTTAACTAGACTTATTGTGATCATTTTGCAATATATACAAAAACTGAATCATTATGTTGTTCACCTGAAATTAACATAATGTTATATGTCAATTATACCTAAAAGAAACCAAAACAACCACAAACTTACTTAATAGTTATTAATTAATTCAGTAGGGCCTGCACGTTGTGGAACAACCACTCTAATGGACCCATTCAACTAACAGTCACATATGTAGCTGGCACCTTTAAATCTCTATGACAGATCGAGGTGGTGCCACTGTTCCCTGTTACGGTTCAGCGTCATCTTCCAACACGCAGACATGTGATGGTTAGTCAATTACTTGTCCTGAATCCCAGCCCTAGAAACCCCTGCCTCAGAGAGAGGGAGTGATTCTTTGCCAGATCATAAGGCTTACAGAAACAGGGCCGACATTTTTTCCTCTCTGACCGGAGGCTCCTCTCTTCCCCTCCACTCCCTCCCTCAGGATATAAATGGCTCTCTCTCTGGTCACAGGCCCCCGCTCCTGCTGAGTCATAATGACCAGCCTCCCCGGATGGAAAACCCGCTGGAGGGACCACCATTGCCCGTTTCAGACGTGCTGGTGCCCTTAGTGGTCAGCTCATCACAGGGGCACCCCTCCCTCCCATTATCACCCTGTCACCCCCCTTATAAAGCTGCAAACACTGCTGCCCCAAATGCAGTGAACAGAGCGTGGGGGAAGAAGAGCCAGCAAAGTCCCTACCACCGTCCTCGGGGCCAAGAAACTTCAGTAAACGCTCCCCTTTGGAGAAAGTGGGAGGGGAAATGGGTTGATCAATAAGCCGTTGAATACCTATATAAAAGCCCATCACTTGTTACTCTAGAGACTTCTACAGGATTTGGAATTTTTTAAAGAAGATGATCCTTGTGTTAATTTGAGCTATTTTTTTTGTTAGTTTTTTGAGGACGATCAGCCCTGAGCTAACATCCGTGCCAATCCTCCTCTTTTTGCTGAGGAAGACTGGCCCTGGGCTAACATCCGTGCCCATCTTCCTCCACTTTATGTGGGACTCCGCCACAGCATGGCCTGACTGACAAGCAGTGCGTCAGTGCATGCCGGGATTCGAACCCGGGCCACCAGCAGTGGAGTGCGAGCACTTAACCGGTAGGCCACCGGGCCGGCCCCTAATTTGAGCTATTAAAACACATTTTTTCCAAAGAAATGTAAGGCATGAGTGGTGCCCTCCAAAACTCATCCCCTAGACAGGCAGATGATGGGACCACCCAGAAGCGAATGGTGAAGGCACAGGAGTGCCAGGGCCAGGCTCCAAGGTCACAGAGAAGGAGCACCTTGAGGGCAGCAGAAGGGGGAGGAGCCTCAGAGCGGTTGAGAGAATGTTCTTCCCGCCGCTGAGCACACAGCCTTTGCAGTCAGACTCACAGGTCTGAGTTGAATCCCAACCCTGTGAATCATCAGCTGTGCATCCTGGGGCTGTCACTGAACCTCTCTGAGCCTCCTCCTCATCTGTAAAATGTGATGAAACGTCCACACCCGAGTCCTTCAAGTGCTGCCTGGAACAGCCAGCGTTCTCCGCCTGGCCTCGGGGAGACACATGATGAAGGTTTCCTTTGGCACCTACAAGGGGACTCCATCATGACTGGCAAATTCCCAGACTTTGCACAGCCGTCTCCTCTTGGGCTTCACTCATTTTTGCCAGTCAGAGTCTTGAGACCTGGTAGTCAGAAGAAGGGTAGGTTCCGCCCTTCCTGAGCTCAGCGTCCTTCCCAGTCAGGGACATCCGCTGCCTCCCGGGTCGATCACCCGTCAATCCCGGGGAGCAGCAGGACCCTCATGGAGGGATCCCCGGCTGAACCCCAGGAGTGTGGCGTGTGGCAGTGGGCAGGACAGAGGTGACCCAGAGGCCAGACCAGGCCTAACGGGGGGCGTGTGTCGTCTCCCTCCAGGCTGCTCATAACAGGACAGAGAGACAGCAACGGTCGGAAAAGACACCATTTGAACGGAGCAGGAAAAGGATTACTGAAAAGTCAGTTCTCTCTGGCGGATCTTTAAAGAGCAAGCAGAAAGGAACTAAGGCAAGAAGCAGATTAGCCCAAGAGACAGGAGACCACTGGAAGGGTCGCATCCCTGACGGTGGCAGCAGTGAACAGGGTTTTTCCTCCTGAGCTGCTGCTGGCTTCTGAGGGTCTGTGGCTAGGTGTTCCAAGGAGCATCCCCAAGGCAGCTCCTCTGGTGGGCAGGCCCACAAGCGGCACTGGGGCTGGGTCCTGGAAGGACTGGATTGTGCAATGACAGAGCAGGGGCAGGCGGGCAAGGGGGTACAGATGGAACGGGCAAGTTAGGAACCAAGCAAGTCCCACCCCACAAGGCCACCCCCCGGGAAGTCATCTCCCGGTATCAGATCCGTGTTAATAACAATGATAGCCACTGTCGAGAGGCAGTGCTCACCACGTGCCAGGCTCTTTCCACACGTGTCCAACCAGTAGCCCTTGAGAAGGGCCTGACCAGCCCCAATTTTACAGAAGAGGGAACTGAGGTGCAGGGCAGCCCCCAAGTAAGAGCAGGGCCAGCACTCAGCCCACGGGCCTCAAAGCCAACTTCTAACCTGGCCGTCAGGAGCCCACCCAGCTGCCTGCCCATCTCTGCCTTCCTGGTGGTCCTTCTCCAGGACCGAGGCACCACCTGCTGGTTTGATCACATGAAGACAGACTTTCCATGCCAAAACAGAAAGGATCTGAAGAGGGCACTGCTGACATTTTGCCAAACTCGGCTTCTTTCCAGTGCTTTTCTAGTCATTAAGGAGTTGTGACCAACATTTTTTATTTAATGAAATAGAACAGAAACTACCAGAATGCACTGTTTAAAGAGGGTATAATTTCATGGAATTCTGGTCCCAGGTGTGTCTGTATCCCTATTCTGGGTCATGATGGAGACCAGTAAGAACTAGATTTAGATCACCACGTTCTACCCAAAACTCATGAGAGGGAAAGCTTATTCCCACCACATACACAGGCTCCCCACAGGTGACATGCGGGTGGGAGTCCCAGCCCGAGCCCTGGGAGCTTGAGCAAGCACATTCACTCCTAAACCCTATTTTGCCACGCTCAAAATGTAAGAGTTTCAGACTCTGTCATCTCTACGTTCCAATATTCTGTGATCTTAAATGTCCACGATCTACTTATTTGCAAACTACAAACTGATAGCACGTGCCCAATTCTGCATTTCTGTCTTCTGAATACAATTTCATAACAGACATGCCAACAAATTTCCACCTGTTTCTTTCTACGTCCTATTGAATGTGATTCCGTAACAGATATTCTAATTTTGACCTGTTTTTCCCATGTGCTTATTTAATACTAGATTTTCTAGTCCTAAAACTCCCATTTTCTCATCTTAATTTTGAAACTTAAATCTAGGGGGAAAGAAAGAAATATAATTTTTCACCCGACTGTCTTGAGGAGTAACTACATCTACAGTTCAACTCCATGGTCTCTTCTTTTTCTCATACACACTCACACAGCAAGGCAATTTTCAAAGTTTACTGAAAATGATGACCTGCTGGCCGTGAGTCCAGCTGCCCGCCTCCCGCCCATGCAGGGGCAAGACAGAGTG